TTCTCTAACTCATCTTCGTAACGAGTGCTTCTTGGCGTAATGATAAGGTTGCAATAAGGATAAAGATCGTAAAGGTGTTTTATATTCGTTAAAGTAATACGTAGGAAAAGTACTTAGAACAAAGCGTGAAGAACCTATCTTCCTCGGCCGCATCGGCCTCCTTATATAGTGTTCTTCCCGCCTTTAATCATGTGACTTAAAGTGGTCACATGTGCAAAACCAAATCAAAACAAACTAGTCATGTGACCAAAGTGATCACATGCTCAAAACCCATGACCTTATAGTAAGGTCATGTGAAAAACTCATAAACCAATCATAACGCAATAAACAAGTCATATGACTCAACTGAGTCATATGCACGAAACCCATGACATCATAATGAGGTCATGTGCGAAACAAAAATCATATGCACAAGGCTTGCCCGTAAGGCATACTCGTAAGGCATACTCGTCAGGCGCATGTCCCATGACTCATACTTGAGCCATGTGCGAAAGCATCACAAATCCCACACATAACTAATCATACAACCCGAATAGGTTATATGCGTGAAACAATAACATACCTGTGACTCATAACCATGTGTCACGTGAAAACCCTTTCTTTACTAAGTCACGTTCGTGACACTGTCTCCCAAAACAAATACATAGACAAAAGAAATCCATAGAGGTGGTGACAGACCTATAACGGTCAGTGGGGCCTATCTCCCACCCATGGTGCCTTGCCCCCACCAGCCATGCCCATTGCCAAACCAAAGAAACCAAACAAACCCCACAAAATCCAGCACGCAAGACCCAAACAAGTCCAACCAGGTGGTCGCAACCTACTATCCGCACAGGTGGCCATCAACCATCTGGGTCATCGAGTAGCTTTGCAGCACTCGGCAGCTTCACCCAACAGCCCCATCAGGCTGGAAACACTGAATTAGACATCGCCCAACCTGACGCATGCCCAACCGGTGCTCGCAGGTACCTCTCCCCCCCAATCAGCCCCCCACAAGCCCCACACACCAGGCGCCACAGAGCCCATCCAGCCCCCTCAGCCCCTCAGACAGATCAACCATCCGACAGCCACAGGACAGCTATACCTAACCCCATCAGACAGCCACTGGTCTTGGCCGTGCCAACAGAGCCACAACCCTCGACTCCATATAGCCAAGGTGAGCCCACCAGCCAAAGCAAAGAGCCACAAAAGAGGCAGTACCAATACCCGAAGGCACCAGCACCTCCCATACCATCCAACCCTAGCCGAACCGAAGTGCAACCGACTCGAAAAAAAGGTAAGCAGAGCCAGCCAAAGCCAGCCCCACAGGTCCGGTGACAGGTACGGATCGAACGACGGGCAAGAGGTATCTCCAACTGACACAACCAGAAGGAGGAGAGCGAAAGAACAGAAGCAGACAAACGGAAGGTAGGCCCCACTTGCAATGGGTGAAGCCACCAACCACAGACCACAACCGAACCACCTAAACGCACAGACAACCCGAGTGTCTGGTAGCTAATCGTTCCACACCACCCCAGGCAGCAAAGAGAAACTACACCAGGGGGTAAGATTTTTCAGGGTCAAAGCCATCCCCACCATAGCATGGAGGTGACACCTGACTGAACCACCATATATGCCGCAAGGACAAAACTTCCAAGGGAACGGTGATAAACAACATCGTAGGCTTCCAACAGTAGAAATGAAAACGTAACGAAGAGGGGCTGGGCGGGTACTGCCCTGCCACCTGAGGAATGATGCGGCCGGTATGATGAGTTGATACTTGGAAAGGTCATCAGTTCTAACCCAAGGGCGTTTTGTATCACGAGAACTAAGGACTCTGTTAAAACCCAACAAAAGACATGAGCTGGTCCAAAGAACGATACAGGTGATCCCCCCAAACACAATGTTCAATCCCCCCAATCGAACGCGAAACCTGCGAGTAGACGATAGACAGGAAGCCGTAGACATTTTACCGAAAGAGGCTCGTATACGACCGTGATGAAGTGCTCGAGGTGCTAGTATTATGAGATAACCAGCCCAATGAAACGAGACGCAAACAAGTTATCCACCATGCAACACCTAATAGACCTCAACACCAAAGACCCCAGGAACTAATGAGCGAACTCAGATATCTCCCCCAGAATACAAGGCATCAAGGCCCATCATGAGGGTGAAAGAAACGCTCGAGGCGAAGCGATGGCAAGGATGAGGAAAAGTACTTAGAACAAAGCGTGAAGAACCTATCTTCCTCGGCCATATCGACCTTCTTATATAGTATTCTTCCCATCCTTAGTCATGTGACCTAAAGTGGTCACATGTGCAAAACCAAATCATAACAAACTAGTCATGTGACCAAAGTGATCACATGCTCAAAACCCATGACCTCATAGCAAGGTCACGTACAAAACTCATAAACCAATGATAACACAATAAACAAGTCATATGACGCGACTGAGTCATATGCGTGAAACCCATAACCTTATAATGAGGTCATGTGCGAAACATAAATCATATGCACAAGGCTTACCCGTAAGGCACACTCACAAGGCATACTCATCAGGTGCACATCCCATAACTCATACTTGAGCCATGTGTGAAAGCATCACAAATCCCACACATAACAAATCATATAACCCGAATAGGTTATATGCGCAAAACAATAACATACCTGTAACTCATAACCATGTGTCACGTGAAAACCTTTTTCCTGCTAAGCCATGTTTGTGACACCTAAAGTGGTCACAAGTGCAAAACCAAATCATAACAAACTAATCATGTGACCAAAGTGATCACATGCTCAAAACCCATGACCTCGTAACGAGGTTATGTGCAAAAACTCATAAACCAATCATAACGCAATAAACAAGTCATATGACTCGACTGAGTCATATGCGCAAGACCCATGACCTCATAACGAGGTCATGTGCAAAACATAAATCATATGCGCAAGGCTTACCCGCAAGGCACACTCGCAAGGCATATTCACCAGGCGCATGTCCCATGACTCATACTTGAGCCATGTGCGAAAGCATCACAAATCCCATACATAACAAATCATATAACCCGAATGGGTCATATGCGTAAAACAATAACATACCTGTGACTCATAACCATGTGTCACGTGAAAACCTTTTTCATGCCAAGCCACGTTCGTGACATCTGATAGGCTTGACAACACCAATAGCCTTCCATCTTGCTTCTTTGGACATTCTGGCAACTCAGCAAATCTTGCCAGTTTCATCTCAGGATAGCAGGATCATAGGAGGCATAACTCATATTTCTGGATTTGAGTTAAACCTTTTTGGCCTGCATCATTGGAATCCCTTGTATGCAAGTTGGTCTTTGATTGTATGAGAGGCAATCTACCACTTTCCTTTACCCCGCTCACGCTTGACAATTCTTCTTCACCAGTGCTGACTAATTATTCATGGTCTCCGGTGGATCACTATACTGAACAATCCGCTATTATGAATAAAAATGGCCTGATACTTGGCATTCGTTATAGCGGGGTGCGACTGTACTCAAAGGAAGGTGCAAAGACGGAACAACCCAGGAATAGTGCATTCCTTCGTCTGAATTGACGACTGTCTTCTCACTTAAAGAACATCACTGTATGTATCATACTCGAGTAACGCCCCCATCCAAGCAGAACCTCACAGATCCTCGGGTCAGAGACATTTATTGGATGCAAAAAAAGGGTGATCAGCGGGTTACAGAGCCGACAGAGAGACAGGTTTAGCGTACAGCACAGCACAGGCAGGGTAAATCTGAGACACAATTATCCGGAGGAGGGGCGCCATCTCCCCCCACTCCCGGGACTCGGACTCGAGTGATGTAAAATCACGGTACTGTGTAAGGATGCGTTGCACTTACCCTATGCGCAGCAAAAAAAAGCATTCGAAAGCCAACTGGTGGCCAATCACAAAAGCAAAGCGCCTAGACCGATTTCACCACAATGACGATGGTTAGCGTGCGACATTCGATCGAATCGCTACGAGTTGATTCAGAATAATGCCGATGCCCATTTCGTGCTCAGACTTACTCCTCTCGAGTGCGACACCTTCACACACACACACACATCTCATGCCGTGCTCCGATTACTTTAGTTAGTAGGTGAGTTAGTGGAAGAATAAAAGGTTTGCACACACACATTTCGACGGGGAAACATCTGTTTGTAGGTTGCAAGCTCTCACAACAGCTTCAATATAACCCTTTTTTCTTTTCTCTTCCTTTCCTATCTCCCACCCTTTGGCCTACCGTGCTGCAAAGATACACAACCTCTCTTGCTTGACCAGTGGAAGGGAAGGATTGGCGTGCATGATGCGCGCGATCGTTCCTTCTGCCAATCGTGCATGTGAGGCGACGGTTGAACCCAGTTGGGAGCTGTGAACCTGGCTGTTTGCCGCCACTGGCTGTTGTCTGCTTCCTCCAAAAATGGCATGCAAACCAGGCAAATCATGCGGTAGAACGAACGAACAGAGAGAAAGTTCCCTGGATTTACACTTTTACCTATCAATTAATGAAAGAACCTCACCCCACAATATCACATCCTCTTCCCATTACTCGTGGGAATGTGGGGATGAATAATGGGAATAAGTAAATGGACAAAGAGAAATCACACATGATCAAAATCTCTTTAATCCCTCCATGCCTCGCACTCGTTATCTAGTGAGAAAATTATGCTATCCGCTTCCGTGCTCTATAGTACTTGTATCATGACGAGCAGTACGTAACTATCTAGTCACAAGAGGCCACAGGCTACAGTAGGGTTCGTACATCGTATCATTTTCTCCTGTATGGTCCCGATACCCTGTCACCGTTTGGCGTGTGATCGATCCCTCCACCGCCCTTCCATCCATCCATTCCTTCCCCCATCAATCCATCCATCCATCCACTCACACATCACATCCATTCCCATTTCGATAGGGAAAAAAAATTTCTCTCAAATAAACCCCCCTTTTAACCCTAACCCTTCGTCCCTTCATTTCCCTTCCTCGCTCCCCTAGTCCTTCCTCCAACATCTTTTTATTCTTGTTGCCCCCCACCATCTTTCCTCAAGTTATTTGCCCGAATCCTTTGCCCCTCTTCATTCCAACCTATCTTCTTCTCCAACGATCGTTTTAATCACACCTACAGCTATTCCAGCGAGATCGAGCGGGAAAGCCAATCCAACCCTTTATCCTGCCTGAACGGATGTTCTTTACGAGCTTAGCTATCCCGCTGCCCCCGTAAATATGGTGAATAGGAATCTGCCAGCCTACAAACCGATCGAAGTTACTTTTCTCAGCGAGCAAAAGGTGTGTTTGACTCTTTGTGACTTCCAAATCCCGTCCCCATTTGTGTCCGCGGGTGAGAAGGGGAAATTCGGCTGACGGTATTTTCCATCGCAGACGTATGTCTAATGACATTCCATGCCCGACCGATGACCCACTGACAGCTTTAATCTTTTAGTGACCTGGGAGAAGTGTCGTTCTGGCGCAATAACCTTGTGATCTTCCCGCTGCCCAGCTCGGGTATCTCCAAGGTTTGGAGGCTAACTACCTATTTTAGGTTGCCGCTTCAAAACGCCATAACCATCTATACATTGCCCTGAGGTCATCAATTCGTGTCTACAGCCCAGCATACCCAAATCAGATCATCCCGCCAAACCTCTCCTACATAACCCTCACCTCCAGCTTTACCCCAACCGGACCCGGGTATATTGACCCCGCAGAACCTCATGCGATCAACTCGCTCACAGTTGGAGACCTGGGGTTCGAGGAGGTTCTTGTGAGCGCACACGACGATGGTGACGTCTGCGTGTGGTACACAAGAGACCTAAGCAAATTGGCATTTCGATTGTCAGTGGGAGAGAGTGCTTGGGGCGTTGCATTGCACAAAGAGCGGAGGTTGATGGCTGTCAGTGCAAACAATCATTCGATCCACGTCTTTGAATTGGCAATAACGGACGATGGGGATTGTCCATGTCCGGAAGAGGGCACGGATGCCGGACTCACTCATAGGCATAGGAGGAGGAGGAGGAGGAAGCGCGATTCATTTGGATATGATGGGGGTGGTGGCTTTCAGGGGATGTGCAATCTGAATGGGGAGCCTCTCCCTGGCAATGATGACGCTAGTAAGAAACGTCGAAAGAAGACATCCACGAAAAATAAAACCCCCACAACACTGAAGGGGCATGGTTGCAATATACCTAATGTATCCTTTCTTGACGATCCCACAGGAAGGTGGCTCGTGGGTACCTCAATTGATGGGATGGTAATACTTTGGGATGTCATGACCGAGCGCCCGGTGGAGAAATGTAGACTCGGGATGGATAAGTAAGCATTTCCCACCACAAATAGTACAAGTGAATCAAAGTCTAAGTATGATATAGCCGTGGTTGGTCTGTCCTCTTCCTGAAGCCCCAAGCCTTTAAACCGGTCTCCAATATATACGAAGCGCTGGGGAGGCCCGTCCCCGAGGAATCCCAAACGTCCCCGGAGGCTCCTCCGAGAATATCCCTCAATGCCATAGGTGTTAAGACAATATCTACAGACTATTACGACCCGGTGACCAGCTCACAGGCGCAGTTGAGCAGAATGGCTAGAGCATGGGACATTTCCCCCAACCCTGGAGCCCACATATCGGGCCTATCAACGACAAATGACCTTTTATACCAGCTCGCCATGGCCGACGCTGGTTACGACGAGGATCAATACTCGGAAGAGGAAGAGGATGAAGACCATGATTACAGCGACGGTCCGTACGCGGAAGAGGAGGAGGACGAAGACGGTGGCTGGAGCGAAGGAAGTGCAGAGGGAGAGGTTGAAGTTTTCTTTGGTCCTGGCGGCGCAACCGTTGAACTTGTTACTACTGGTAGTTCCGAGAGCGGGAGTAGTCATCACACCTCTAGCACCGATACCAGTTCCGACGACGGCAGCGGGCATTATTCCTATCAAGGCTCGGACGCAATCCACAACCCCCGCTCCTCCCTAAACTTCTACGGCCCTGTCCAATTTGTAGGGCTCGTTCAAGGTTCCGACTCCCCATCCTCCACCTCTTCATCTTCACCCTCGCACCCCATCCAGTCCCCGATAGTTACAACCACGAACCCAACAAAGCGCACCCGCCCCTCTTCCAGATGCCTTTCCAAATCCCACAACTACTCCACCTCCTCCAACTCTGGCTACACCTCCTCGACCTCCTCCAGCTCCAGCTCCACAGACACAGACTCGGAGGAAGAAACCCCCGCTCAACCCCCCACATCCCTAATATTCTCCACAACAGGGCGCAACGCCCACCTCCTCACTGTCACTTCCTCCCTCTCTCCAATTGTTCTCTGCCGTTCACCCCTGCGCACTTGCCAGCCACACCCATCCAACCGGCACCGGTACGCCGCTAACATCGACCGCCTTAACCTCTGCCACGCCATACCTGAACTATCCCTCGTCATTGCTGCCTCCCAAAAGGGCCGCGTCGCAGTGTTCAGGCTGACACGTGTGGGGGATGAGTACTGCATGCGCCTGGACGACATACTACCCCGGGAGTCAGAGTTTCCGGGAGCTATCACTCCGGGCGGAAGCACGGCGCTGTTGGGCGTCGCCGTGGGACCGATTCAAGGCCGGGAAGTTGGAAGCTCTGTTCGCAGAAGGCGTGGCGGGTGGAGGGGCAATGAACGGCGGCGGAGGTATAGGCTTATGTGCGTGTTTGTCGACGGGAGAGTGCTCAGCTACGAGATTGGGCGGGAGGGCTCCCCTGAACGCGCCATGGAGGGGGGTGGAGGCGGAATGGGAGTGGGAATGGGAGTCGGGGGGTTGGGGGGGTTTGTCATGGTTTAGCTTTTGCTTTGCTTTGATTTCCGCTTTTCTGGCTTTTGGCATTTTTCCCGTTCTCTTCCGCTTCTTCCTTGAACCCCTAATCTCATTCGTGTCTCCCATATTTCTCCGATTTAAACTCTGAACAAACATTACTTCTTGTCAGTACCGTAGGGTGGCGAATGGTTGTGCTATTTTCTTCTTCTAATCCCCATTCTCCCTTTCTTTCCCACATATTTCCTCTTTTTCTCTTCATTCATTTTCGTCATCACGGCAGCATTGCGCGCGCGGGGTGGGGGAATTGCATGGAACGGTTTGGTCTGGTCTCGCCTGGTCTTGTCAGTCTCGTCATGTCTGTTAAGAAAGTAGAAAACAAAAAAAAAAAAAAAGCATTGGTGTTTCTAAATTACACATGCACCCATCTGCAAAGCGTGCGATCCACCCCTTTTTTTCCGTTCCGGCGTACGGTAGGGAAAACCCGTCGACCGGACCCTACCCAATTATTAGCGCGCCACAAATATAGCGGAAATCGAACTCTGGCTGTTCGCAATATTGCGCGTGCGGGGTAATCCACGTTATAAGAGCGGTGCGGCACCATAGAGTAAGTCTGCTTTTACTCCGCCAAAAAAAAACCTCGCCTACGCGCCTTCTTGCTGCAATGCCAATTCGCATCGTTTCCTTCCCCCAACCTCTGTTTCCCCGGAGCGGTCCATTGTCGTTCAGGGGCGCCGCTCTTATGATACCTACGATTCCGACTTCAACTATCAGCTACCGAGTGATACCCTGTGACTGCATGTTGATTGTGCAGGCGGGTGGGATACCAATAGGTAATTTAGGTACGGTGGTGCGGGCGGGGAATTTATGATGGAAATCTTCGCCGCGAGGTCGAGCGATATTTTGCTTCGCGCTTTCTAGCTCTCAGGACTTTGGGGTATGAAGCTGTGTCGTGTTCCGCTTTATCCCGCCTTCATCACTCGTAAAGTTCGGCAGTTAGGTTTACGCTGCCACATCACGGCACCTCAGGACTATCGCACCCTGGGCACTTTACCACACTTCACTCGTACGGAAAGACAGACCTTCCGGTTCGGTTCAATGCGGTGTTGCTCTGCCGGTATGCGTGCTCTAGAGTACAATCGACCGACCAGCAAGTTGCAGGAAACATCACAAAACCGCACTTGATCAGGTTTTCTATCTATACATGGACCATCCCACTCTCTTCCTCCGTCCATCCAACCTGCCTTGCCTACCAGCTTATCGACAAATAAAACAGGGGATGGTGTGAAGAAAAGGAGAGAAGCTAGGGGCGAGGGGAAAAAAATTGGCGTATAGGTTTTCGTCCGTGGGGATCAACTGAAAGGGTGAGGGCGAACAAGGATAAAATAATAACGGAGAAAGTGGGAACCTGTTACTAAAGTTGGCATCTAGCGGGGAAAATGGAAGGGATATAAGGTGCGCAAAAAATAAAGAGGAAAGAAAAAAATAGGAAGAAATATCCACAGGGAATAAGCAAAATGGGGAAATAGCCACTCCGCTCTGAAGTGGAGGTTGCAATGGTGGAGAGGAAAAGAACAGATGACATGATCGGGGTAGATCGGAAAGTGGACTTTGAAAATTGGGGGGTTAAAGGATCCGCCGAGGATCCAACTGTCTAATATCCGCCGACACCGCTTGGCCTTCAAACACTATCTCTGACAATAGTTTCCCCGTAGCCGGGGCGTTATTAATGCCCCAGCACGAATGCCCCGTGGCCATCAATAAGCCCTCTGTCCCCGTCTCACCAATAAGAGGGCCGCCGGAACCACCCACGTTCAGAATGGGCAGATAGCAGGCTTGCTTGCGGGTTACACGCCCTAGGCGAATGTGGTCCGATATACTCGACACCTGAGCTATTAAGTCATCGCAGCGGGCCTCGTCAATTTGTACGTCTGCTGTTGTTTCGGGCACGGCTACTTCCATATCTCCCTCGCCGCAAACATATATCTCGTTGTTTGGTCGGGCATAGATTTCCGGGGAGACCGTATTGGATGGCTGGTTGCTGTGGAGGGATGATGGGGGCGTTGGTGGGATGGTTATTTCGGTGAAAAGGGCATAGGCCGATACTGGAGATGAAGGCGTTATGGTCACACTGTGTGCTCTCAGCCCGGATATTGGAGCTGAGGGGTATAGCTTTGACGTCCACGGGCCTGCGGCTAAGATTGCGGTGGTTGCAGGAATGGTACAAGAAGTGCCGCTTTGTGTGTCGGTGTATGTTATCCCCGAGACTTTTCGACGGCTACTTCGAGAGGGGGTAATGGAGTCCACTGACACAGATGACAGTGTTGGGGATGGCGGGTCACATGGAGTCATGTTATCGGAGGGAGGCGGGGTTGCGGGTGGTGGGGTTGGACTGGATTCCGTATATTCGATATCGGTTACCGAACCAACGATGACATTAACCCCTCGCTCCTGGGCAAGCCTTACCATCGACATTGTGAATTGATACGGGTGAACTTGGGCAGTCTCCTTACTACCCCCCATCTTCTCATAACTCTTCACCAAATCAGGCATTACCCAATCCAAATCCTTCGGCAGCTCCGAGTCCTTCGATTTACCCCGGTTTGCCTTTCTATTTTCCCCCACTCTTTTCCCTAGAGACACTCCCGTCTGAGCTCCTAATCGCTCCAGCTCACTGCGCTCCCGCCCCGTAGCCTCAAGGCTCCCGCACGACACTCGCCTATAGCCCCATGTTTCTTCACCCCCATGTTCAATCGCTAAATCTTGGTGTAGCTTGAAGCTTAAGGGCACAATATTGTTCGGATAAGCCCATACAGCCAATAATCCACCAGCCTTCCCCGACGCACCCCCGGCAATTCTGGTCGCTTCTATAACCGTAATGCTGTGCTTCTTTGGGTCGTAATCCTTATGCCGAGTCAAGTAATATGCTGTTGTGCAACCGACGATTCCGCCGCCTGTCGAGAATACTGCTCAGCGACTAGACCCCGGAATAGACGACGGGAGGCCGGCGCCCTTGATCAAGAGAAACATAAAAAGTCGAACTCACCTATTATGACGATATTTTTTTGGTCCCCACCCTCCATAACCGTCATACCGCAGCGGTAACTCTGGGACAAATAACTGGTTCTATTGCAAACAATAGTATGGTTTGGGAACTCGTTGCCAAAAGGGTAGCAACAAAAGACTCGGGTTTCTCTCAAAGCGTGCGCACGGATAAGCAAGGGGCCGCCGAGTGGGAGGGGGGTCAACTATCTAAAAAGCAAGCTTCCTGTTGGTTCTTTGAACCCCGTGGACTGCGGGGGAAAAAATAAAAGGAGGAGGGGAGGACGGGGAGTTGAAGTAGTAGCAAGGTTTGCTTTTTTTTAGTACGGAATGCGGCAGGAGGTTTGCGAGTAAAAGAGTTGGAAGAAAGAAAGGCTCTTTCGAGAGAATGGAGGAAATCACCCAACGTCACCCGATTATTCCGCTTTTTGTCTCCTTAGCGCCGACACGCTGTGAGTTCAGTTGCAGCACCCTGTTTTTAATTCTCTCACTTGCTCAGACCAGACGTTCCCCAGAGATATGAGCTGACGATCTCACTGTTGGCTGATTTTCTTTCCCAACCCTAGTGCGTTCGGGGAGACGGGATTGTGAAAGGAAGAAAAATTACTCCCTCCTGCTCAGTATATTTTATTTTTGGAGAACCAGAAATCGGAGAGGTGCTGCGCGCCGCGACCGGGGAGGAGTGGGGGATGGAATAGGGAGGAGGGGAGGAAGTTCAAGCTTGCTGGCCAGACAGAAAAGGCGGGCTTGATTCTAGTCAATCCCTTGTGGGATATTATGGGAATAATTTTCTATCGACCGAATAATGTGTTTAGTGTAAACTACGAAGAAATGGTGCGACATGCACAGTCCAGGTCCGTCCTTGCTCCAACCCGTCAAGATTTTGACAAGTCCAACAATCTGGGCCAGGGTCGGTTAGCAAGAACGATGGTTACCTTGGTTGGGCCAAAGCTTGTGTGGGGCAGGGGAGTGAGAGGAGAGAGAGGGAGGGATAAAAAAAGCAAGGGAGATTGACGCTTTTCCCCAATGCGAGATGATATCTACTCACCTGTTTTGGGGTTTTGTTTCTTTTCTGCCCTTTCCTTCTGTTCAGGTTCGTTTGCCCTTCTTCCCTCCGAGCCAGTGTATGAATTAACCAGTCGGGCTGGGGTGGTGGAGTGGATGATGGCCAGATCCAGGATCGTGAATACGGCACGATATTTTGAACGGAATGGTGGCGTAATTCGGATGACCGACAGAAGATTGGTAAATGAGGAACAGAGTCTTTCTTTTTTAAACCTCTGGATCGGAAATTTCCCCAGGAAAGAGGCACTCGAGTGGAGGGATGAGCAAAAAAAGAAAGAAAAAGAATATAACCAGGGGAAAGGGAACGCTACACAAGATATTAGAAGATGAAGATCTATAATAAAATTTGGAAATATTAGAAGAAAGAGGAAATTATATGGATAAGGGGGATGAGAATGGTAGACCTGGACCGAAGAGCTAGAAGAAGAAAAAAAAGGGGGGGGGTTGTTCGTGATGATGGAGGAAAGTGAGAAGTGAAAGAGAGTTCGGATGATGCGATGCGGCCCTATGAGCGGGAGGAAAATACCGGTAACTGATGATTTAGATTATTAGTATTTGTCCTTTTGATGATAATAGTTCTGGGCTAGCTCTTGCTTGAAACAGAAAGTGGGAGGAGGGCAAATATCGCAACACCATAGGGGGCGGCGGCCAACAAAGCAACCAGCAGCTAAAGAACCACGGCGACGATCCCCGACGGCGAAAGGGCAAGCCAGCCAGCCGGCACCTTGATGGCGGACAGGAAAGAATACGATACCATGAAGGTAGGGCAGGGAGATCAACGAATGAGGAACCTCAAAAGAATCCTCCAGCCGAACGACGACGACGACAACAACACCGGATATTACTGTACCCAATAAAAAGCCTAACGAGAAATAAAGAAAACAAAAAAAAATAAAAAAAAATAAAAAGCCTACTAACTATTATGATAGACAATACCCCCCACCTCCGTTTCCTTCTATTCACCACTTCCCTCAACCTCTCACTCACCCCTTCAAGGCTTAGGAGAGGCCCTTCACAGCCTCACTTGACTGACCTGATCTGGTCTGATCTGATCTATTTGTCTTAATTCACCCCCCGACAAGTACAAGTACCGTACGGTACTTTGTACGCCGTAGCCTCGGACAGGTACAGTACACCCGACGAACCCCGAGAATCTTCTAGACAAGCACAGTACCGTAATCGTACGGCCTTGCCTTTGTCTTGCCAGCAAATAAAGGAAAAGAGAAAGGATGCACGGGCCCGAGGTGTAAGACCCGACCCAGTGGAATCAGCTCCGCAACCTTTGTCACCAACTCGTTCTGGATTCTTTCCCCAAGAACTGCAACAAGGGATGTATGTATGTATGTGTATGTACGTATGTAGACTATGTGTGTGTACATCCGTGCGTGGGAGACAGGGAGACAGGGAGATAGGGAAGGGAGGGGGGGCGTACAGTACACTATGTGAGAAAGGGAGGGATACATAGAATGATGCGAGCTGGACAGGATAGGATGGGTGAGTTGATAGATGGATAGGATTGGTATCACTGAAGGACGCCGCCCCCCAGGGTAGGTACGGTAGGGTTAAAAAGTTGCGTGGTTCTTGAAAAGTAAGGATGATACCATTACCATATTATAGCACCATGATGGCATAGGTAGGCAAGGAGAGAGAGGTGGAATGTACGAGTAGGATATTGAAGATATCCCAGAAAAAAAAATGTTGTGCGGACTTTTTTTCCTTTTTCCCCCCCCCCCCGCTAGGTGGTTATTGGTATGGTTCTCACTTCTTTGGCTTTTTTTAGAACGGGGGATTGATTGAACGCGGTGTGGTGGTGATTGCGGTCGTCGTGGTTGCGATGATGATGATGGAAGAAATGGCCTGATGTCTTGCCCTGTCTCTGTTCGACGACTAATAGGGACGGGGGTTTAGTAGGCTTACAATACTCGAGTACAGTACGGTACATTATCACATAACGTGGTGGAGGGCAGAGTGCCGATAATGCGTGGTAAGCCGTACCATACCATTGTGAGAAAGAACAAAAAGCCTAGGAAATGAGAATAAAATGTTCCTAAAAAGGCTTGAAATGGTACTAGAGTACCTACAATATGGTAGGGGGAGATATATGCTAATTAGACCAATCCGGCGTAGTGAGCGTTAGGAAGCATGGTCATCATAGGT